CCAGATCGCTCCAAATTCATGGAAGCGAATTATTGGACTGCTGGTGCTCTTCGCCGAAAAGAATTGGGATTTACCGTCGGCGAAGGACATGAGAAGCATGTTCACATTCCGGAAGAGTCCAGATAGACAAGTGTCAGACCCACTTCACACTTTTTCCATTGTCGGTAAACCCCAACCAAGGGTCAAGGTCGGCGAGCTAATAATGGAGGTCCCCGACACATTACATGGCTTCCAAGAGGAATGGTTGTGGTCGGTGGGGATTGGCAGTGCCCCGACTTCGCTAATGATCTTCTTGCCGATGGGACAAGTATCCCAATGGCTATTAAATCTGGTTATTGTAAGTTGTTCACCATTTTCTTCATTCTGGCTATTAATATCTTGCTTTTTGTTTTCGCTAACAGGTGGACTTTTGTGACCTCTTAGCAAAACCAACGGGAAAGAGAGAGCCCAAGTTTGAAGGTCTATTGTACGATCGAGTGGACAAGTTGTTCGAAGTCTCTCATAATAAACGACGATATCAACGACTCGTGAAGGATTCCCGGTTAGAGTTGGCTGGTTTATCTCCCGGGATACTTGACTCTTCATTTTTACCAGGTAATTTCTTCGCTTACCTCGTGGAATCGTTCGTATTGACGAAGTCGGTCTAACCTTGAATTTATTGTAACAGTCTATTATCCATTGCTGGGATACTTCGGTTTCGGAGATCCCGTAGAAGCAGAAGAACATCGGAGACGTAATCCGAATTTTGACTTAAAGAACAAAGTCGGGAAAAACAAAAATCTCCGATCAACAGAGATGGCCGGGCGCATGAACCTTCTGAAGTCATGGAAGAAGAACCTAACCGTTCTCAAAGTGCTGTCGGTGAACCATCGTCCACAAGGGTGGAACCGACACCGGTGATCGTCAGTGAGCCGTTGGTTACCGACGTCCCACCACTTGAAGTCGCTCCAATCCAACAGGTGATGACGTCGGTAGAGGAGCCCACTGTGGAGACCGACATCACGCGAGAGGTGTCGGAAGAGCCGCTTCTTAACGTGGTCCAACGGCGTAAGAGGTCCAGCGTATCGCATGTAGCCGAGAGGATGAAGAAAAAACCAAATACCGGCGCCGGTAAAGACAAAGAGGAGGAGGAACCTGAAATCATCTTGAGGGACTCATTCCTCAAAGTTAACGAGAAGAAGGCGGCGGAGCTGACATTGCCGGAAGGGGTGTTTGACCCTTGGTTTTCGATGTTCCAAACAGTCGCCGAGCCTAAAGTTACGATTAACCATCGGGTCCCTACTGAAGCGGTGAAGGCGGCAAAGGTTCCCTTAATGTCGTGGGACCCGAAAACTCACGCCGGGATTGCGTCTCTGCCCGATGACCAAAAATTCAGTTACGCCCGGGGTTGTTTAGGACGGGCACTGGTTAGCTTCATTGCTGCCGAGGAGAGTTATCGGGGCAGAGCGCAGGAACTTGACGAGAAGAAGCATGAGTTGAGCCTGAAGGAAGGCGCCATAGCATCTCTAGAAGACGAGAAGTCTCGCTATGAGACGATATTATCGGAGAAAGATGCCCAATTGCAAGCGGCGCAAATCGAAGTGAGCGCTCTTAAAACCGAGAAGGAAAATTTATTGCTGGCTCATGACCTCACATCGGTTCAGCTGGCCAAAGTTGTCGAGGTAGCCAAGGAGAAAGACGAGCAGCTCACGAAGTTGAAGGCTGACCTCCAGGCAGTTCGCAAGGACCGGTCTGTAAAGGACGCTGAACTGATACGATGTCGGGAGGCTCATGAGACTGCTATGAGTAAACTCCATCAAGAAATGGCAGCCGCCGCTGAGCTCAAATTCCAGGAGGGTATCGAAGTCGGCAAGAAATCGGTGGCTAAATCCGACAATGCATTAAGTGCAGACATAGTGACGGAGTGGGACTTGGAGTTGAACGCCGCCTTGACCTTGCGCTGGGTGATCGACAGGGTGGAAAGCGGCGTGTACACCATAGATGAGCTACGTATCTTCCTCCTTCATAAGATGGAGAAGCATGGTCTTAATCCTGAGATGAAGAGTGCTCATATTCCGGCCGACCAGGATGAAAGAGACTTCGCCGACCGACTTCTAAAACAGAAGGAAAGTCGGATGTTAGAACTGGACATGGTACCCTTGTCGGAGGAGCGCAAGGCAAAAATCCGCCGGTCATTTGTCGACATGGTCCTCGAAGTGGAAAAGGCCAAGAAGCTTGAAATGGCTAATATATGTGTAGAGACGATTGCCGAGGCCTTTGTTACAGAGACATTCGAAGGCTTGTCTGATGAGGAGCTCTTGAGCGCAATTATACGCAAGGTGGCGGAGGATGACGCCAAGGCTAAAGGATGGGTGACTGACCCAGTTCCTTCTGACGACGATCGTGTTCTGCATGAAGATGATGATGTCGTCGTGATTAAAGAAAGTGATGTCGTCCGAGCACTGGAAGAGAAGGAAGAAGACGTAATTCAGCGCTTAAGCCAGAGATTAATTGAGCATATGGATGTCGTTGATAAGGGCAAGGCTGGAGCCGAAATTCCTCAATCTGGAGGAGCGTCGTCATCGGGAACCAAAGAAACTTAATGTTTTTTATTTATTTTGTCGTTTGTTTGTTTTTCTTGGAATGTACTGACAATATTTAGTTTTGGAATGAAATATTAATGTTTAATGATTGTAATATTCTTTATGAATGCTTCAATGTGACTTATCATTGTAACAAGTCAAAATATGTCGGAAAAGATGAATAAGTGCTTGTCAGATCAAAATTTCCGACATAATATTAGTGTAATAATTTATACGAACTATTGACGTCGGTGTAATCTTACAGTATTTCCGACATCAATAACTTTATCAGAACAAGTTACAACAAACTTGCTTTTATTGGAAGCATTTATTGTGAAAGTCCTTGAATGTCTCAAAGAACTTAAAAATTTTATTGTCAGCTCATCAAATCGACGTCGGGATTTGATATTAAAGAGCATAAGCCTCCCCAAACCATCTTCAGGGCTTGGAAGTATCCGGCTTTGTCGCGTTTGGCTAGGTCATACCATCTTCAGGGTATGAAACACGTTTGGCCTTAGCAACAAGGACCGATTTCATGTGGTCCGAGTGATCGAACAAATTATAGAGGTTCGTCACGCAAACTTTATTGATAGCAAAATATGGTTCTTGTACAGGAGTAGGACAAAAACTTTCTACATGTCAAGAACAGAACTTTGATTTTCAAGCTCACTGATAATACTTCTTCAGATGAGTGGTATGCCAAGGATATTGAAGAGGAACACCGTCTAAAGTTTCGAGTCGGTAGGTGCCATTAGAAATCGGACGATTTACTTTAAAAGGTCCTTCCCACTTCGGTTGTAACGGGCCGACATTGGCCCCAGTGATTCTTTTCAGCACAAGGTCTCCTTTGACAAATGAGCGTGGCTTGAGTCTTGAGTTGATGTACTTTTCACTACGTCGTTTATAAGCGGTATTTCGAATTTCGGCATCAACCCGTAGCTCATCGACCAAATCGAGATTGGCTCTCAAGTTTGCCGAGTTGGTTCCTTCAGAGAAGTGAGTGACCCGATATGTTGGAGAAGCCAGTTCAACCGGTATTACAGCTTCAGTCCCGTATGCCAATGAAAACGGAGTTTCTCCAGTCGAATTTCTCGTAGTCGTCCGGTAAGACCAGAGGACATAAGGCAACTCGTCAGGCCATGACCCCTTTGCTGCTTCAAGCCGAGTTTTCAGACCATTCTTGATAATCTTATTTACGGCTTCTATCTGTCCATTTGCTTGTGGGTGATAAGGTGACGAGAAGAAGTGCTTGATGCCGTAATCTTCACAAAAGCTTTCAAATCGCTTTCCTTCAAACTGGCGACCGTTGTCGGTTATGATGGAGTTCGGTACTCCAAACCGACAAACGATTGATTTCCACACAAAATCGATCATCTTTTGTTCCGTGATGGTTACAAGAGGCTCGGCTTCAACCCACTTAGTGAAATAATCGGTGGCTAAAATAGCAAACCGAACACCCCCTTTTGCTGTTGGAAGTGGGCCGATCAAATCAATTCCCCATTTTGCAAATGGCCACGGGCTATAGATTGACTTGAGGAGTTCAGGATGTTGATTAACGTTAGGGGCAAATATCTGGCATTTGTGGCATCGTCGCACCCAGTCTGCGGCGTCTTTCCTAATGGCAGGCCAGTAGTAGCCTTGTCGGAGAATCTTGTGGGATAAAGCTTGAGCTCCCTGGTGAGTACCGCAAACTCCTTCGTGTACTTCTTGAAGAACTCGTTGAGCGTCATTCTCTGGCAAACATTTAAGCAATGGAGTAGAGTATCCACGCTTATATAACGTTCCCTGATCAATGGTGAAATGAGTAGCACGAACACGAAGAGCGCGAGCTTCTTTCGGGTCTTTAGGTAAGGCCCCGATTTGAAGATAGTCGACGATCGGGTCCATCCACGTCGGATTTGAAGTTGGTGGGGTGGCGTCAACCATGACGACATCGGTAGAGACTGTTGATGAGGTCGCCTGTTGAGTAATTTGCACAAACTCGGCATTATTCAAGTCGGTCGATGAGGCCAAACGTGAAAGAGCATCTGCTTGAATGTTGGATGACCGTGGTATATGCTCCAACGTCATTTTAAACCATGTCAACTTCTTCTTTACGAGATCAAAATAAGGCAACAACCGTGGTTCTTTAACTTCATAAGTACCGTTGATATGGCTGACTAATAACTGAGAGTCGGAAAATATTCGGAGAGACGAAACATTCATGGATTCAGCGAAGTGTAGGCCTAATAAGAGGGCCTCATACTCGGCTTCGTTGTTGGTGGCCGGGAAGGTGAATGCTATAGAGTAGCAAAACACTTGTTGATCAGGACTAACTAAGACAATCCCTCCTCCAGCTCGTACAGCGGTGGACGATCCATCGACGTAAAGAGTCCATGTTGGATCTTCAATAGATGCACTGATAGTGGGAGTAAATTCAGCAATGAAATCAGACAATACTTGAGCTTTGATAGTAGTTCGTGGTCGGTACTGAATATCAAACTGTCCCAATTCTATCGCCCACTTAATCATTCTTCCCGACGTGTCAGGTCGGTGAAGGACTTGTCGGAGAGGGTATGTCGTAAACACGATAATCGAATGTTCCAAAAAATACGGGCGCAACTTCCGTGCAGCGATGATCAGAGCGAAGGCTAACTTCTCCATATATGGATATCGCAATTCAGCGTCATGTAAGGCCTTGCTAACATAATATACCGGAAACTGTTGAAGCCCGTCTTGTCGTATAAGAACAGCACTAACAGCAACGTCACTTACACCAAGGTACAAATACAGAGGCTCATCAAGAAGTGGCTTCTGCAATGTCGGTAACTGTGAAAGAACTTCTTTGATGTTGTCAAAAGCATTCTGGCATTCCATGGTCCATTCGAACGGTTTCTTCTTTTTGATAGCATCAAAGAACGGCTTGCAATGATCTGTAGATTTTGAAATGAATCGATTGAGAGCTGCCAATCGACCAGTTAAAGCTTGGACACCCTTGATAGATGTCGGGGGAGCCAGGTCAAGTATGGCTTGAATCATGGCGGGATTGGCCTCGATCCCTCTCTGACTCACCATGTATCCTAAGAACTTCCCTGATCCAAATCCGAAAGTACACTTCTTGGGGTTAAGCACCATAGAATATTCTCGGAGTATATCGAAGACCTCGGAAAGATGGGCGATGTGATCAGAGGCATGTTCCGATTTTACTAACATGTCGTCCACATAAACTTCCATCGTATGGCCGATCAAGCGAGCGAACATCTTATTGACCAACCTTTGATACGTGGCCCCTGCATTCTTCAATCCAAAAGTCATCATGACATAACAATAAAGGCCTCGAGCTGAGTAGAACGAGGTATGTTCAGCGTCATCAGGGTGCATGGGAATTTGATTATAGCCGGAATAGGCATCCAAGAAACTCATAAGTTGATGTCCCGATGTAGCATCCACCATGTAATCAATGTGTGGAATGGGGTAGCTATCTTTCGGACACGCCTGATTTAAATCTGAAAAATCTATACACATATGCCAAAGGCCGGTGGCTTTTTTAACCAAGAAAGGATTTGATATCCACGTCGGGTATTTGGCTTCTTTGACGAACTTATTGTCTATGAGCTTGTTTACTTCCTCTTCAAGGGCCTTCAGGCGATCTGGGCCGAATTTCCGGCGTTTCTGGATAATAGGTTTGACAGTTTTATCCAAATTCAAGCGATGGCATGCTTTCTGCGGGTCAATTCCTTTCATGTCTTCATGCTTCCAAGCGAACACATCGGAGTTTGACTGAAGGAATTGAATTAAGCTTTATCGAATGGGTTCTTGAAGGTTAGCCCCAATGCGCAGTGATTTCTGCTGAGTCGATCCGTCCACGTAAATGGTTTCGACATCTTCAACTGGTTCCGCTCGGACATGGCGATTTCCATCCTTGAACTGCATCCGTGGATCCATATCTTCGTGCATTTCTGTTTCTTCCTAATGAAATGGTTGCTCTTGACCAAGGACTTCGATTGATATTTCAGGCAAAACCGACGTCATAGGGATGTCGGTCAGTAAGCGGCATGTCAGTATCTGAAATGAACTGATCAGTTCTTTCAGCATCAGAAGTTGAACTATTGGGCTCAACGAAGTTATCAGCATCCTGTTCTTCAATCATATGAAAGTTACGCGAGGTTGAGAGCAACATCAGACTTCGGGCTTCTCGTTGATCTCCGTAATGCGTGCCTTCACCTTCAATGGTGGGGAACTTCAGAGCATAATGAAAAATTGACACAGCAGCACGAAGTTTGTAAAGTGCACTTCGTCCTATTACGGCATTATACTTGTTCTGAACATCCAAGACTTTGAAGGTCTCCATAATGATCTTGGATTTTGGTCCAAAGCAACCAAACCGAATAGGGAGTAGTATTTCGCCGACAGGACAAGAAATGCTTCCATTGAAACCTTGAATTTGGTCGTTGCAAGGCCTAATGTCCGCCGGGTCCAAACCTAATTTTTTGAACGTGCGAAGCATCACAATACTTGAGTAAGCTCCTGTGTCGACCAAAATCCGATGAACAGGAATCCCTCCAATCGGGGCCGTTATAATAAGAGCGTCGGAATGATGATGAGCAAATAAATTGGCATCTTCGATACTGAATGTGATAGGACAATTCCGTTTGTTAATGGTATCTCGAAGGTCAACATTCATGACTCGTTTCTCGGCATTCTGTGCCTCCCGGGCATAGGCTTTGACTTTCCGTCGAGACGTATCTAACTGTTTGTTATTGGAGTTGACTCGAGGTATGCAGTGTGAAGAGTCTAAGGCATCATGTATCTTAGACTTCCTGCAGTTATCAGTCGAGGTTCCGACATGAGTAGAAAATGTGAAAACCTTCTTATCGTTTGCGCGAGCTCTTTTCTGGTTAACAGGTCGGTTATCATCATCTTCATCGTCTGAAAGATCCAAGGGCCTTCCTTTCCGGCGGTTATCAAAATTTCGAAACTTTTGAAGCTGAGGTTGTCCAATTAACCGTAAGAGTGCCGACAAAAGACCGAGACACTCATCGGTATTGTGTCCTGGAGACTTATGGTATGCACAATACCGAGTTTTGTCCAGCTTGTCTTCAGGGGTTCTCACAGGCCTCGGGTCTGGGATAATCCCTTTTCCTTTTAGTTCTTCATATATAGTGGCTGCTCCGGCAGAATAAACGGCCTGATAGCCTGTCCTAACGTTGTCGGAATACTGATCACGAGCAGCCCGCGACTCTGGAGTATTTTCATATCCTTTGGAGGAGTTCCGAAACTGTGCTTTCCCAAAATTCTTCTTATTCTTCTTTTTGGCGTCCGGTTCAGTCTTACTTTCTTTCACCGAGAAGTTGAAACTGGGAACCGACATCGATTCTTCGGCAATAATAAATTGTTGAGCTCGCACAAGAAATTCTTGAAATGTAGCAGGTTTATTCTGACACAGGGTCTAGCGAAACATCGAGTTGGGCTTCAATCCGGCAATTGCGGTTACTAACAGAGTCTCGGGGAGGGAAGGCTCCATATTCTGAATTCGATCATTAAAGCGAGACACGTAATCCTTAACGGTTTCGTCGTCCTTCTGGACGATATTAGTAATTGATTCTTTCGGGATGAGGCAGATCTGGGCTCCGATGAAGTGTGATCGGAAAGCCGCTCGTAACTGTTGCCACTTTAAAATTGAGTGCGGTGGGAGAGTATAATACCACTTCTGTGCCCGCGGCCCCAGCGTAAGAGAGAACATCCGACATCTCAAAGCATCTGAGGCTCCATGTAAATCCATCCACGATGTATAATGATCCAAGTGCGCATCTGGGTCCGAGGTACCGTCATACATGCCAATTTGTGGAATTTTTACCTTAGCTGAAAGTGCCTCTGCGGTAAGTTCCGGAGCTAAAGGGGAATCCGCCTCATTAATGACATTTCCCGACGTCGTGACATGTCGGGGAGAGTCTTCCTGCGATTTCTGTCATGTCTCAAGTTCAGCCAAGCGTTTACGAAGAGTTTCAATTTCATCCGCACTATGTCTTGAAAGACGATTCCGTTCAATTTGGCGCCGCAAATCTTCACGAGCGTGAGGCGCTGATGAAACAGGTCTAGGACGTGGCGAAATTCTCTGGTGATGAGCAGAATGACTTTCAGCAGTCATCTCCTGCACAGGGGGCTCTTCCGAGGCTTGATTGTTCGTTATTGGGTTAACAGTTACACGAGTCAGCTCTTCTCGACGTGGAGAAGTACGATGAGGTTGCGACGTAGCATGGGATGCTGCCGCACGTGTTTCAGGGTCATGACGAGTGTGGGTTGGACATTCTGTTGGATTAGTAGTTAATGGCATCGATAACGGTACCGTATTCGAGTTCCTGGGCATGGCTCGAGCTATCAACGAGGTCAAACCTTGAATAAACTCCGGGTTTTGAAGAAAGTTCGTGATGTTCGTGACCGGAGGAGGTGGTGTTGCACGCCGCGGAGAATGGTTAGTCGATTGGCTCTGGCCAGGATGAGTTATGTGGTCTCGACCAGACTGCGACATGATGGCTTCGAGCGTGAAAATGGCTTTAACAGCGAAAGTTAACTTCAAAACGTGATAGCCGCCCTTCTTCTAGCGCCAAACTGTTGTCAAACGAGAATTAACAACTATATAATCGATAGGGATTTGTAGTAAACTCAAGATAAATCAATAGAAGTTTATATAATCGATGAAAGGAGATAGAATTTTCTTGTACTATTATTGTGTGTGTATCTCTCTCTCTCGGCTGGCTTGGAGAACTGTTTTCTCCTTTTATATTTATTTACAACATTTATCTAATATGTAATCATTACACAAGAATAGTCAACGGCAGCTAATTGCCATTCTTCTTAATAACGTGCCACTTGGCCAGGTGTAATGATGAGCTGTGCTGAGTTGGCACCGCCTTGTAGTGTCGGTCTTACGAGTCATAGATATCGGTTCGAGCAGTTGTAACCGATATGTTGTATCCGACATGTAGTAACCGATATGTCGTATCCGACGTGAGATATTGGTCAACGGACGACGATGTCGGTTTCTTGACGAATTTTACCCGACGAATGATTGCCTTGAAATTAACGTCAGAACCTTAAGATCTGTTAAGGCATCACCTACTCCATACGACTTCAATCATCCTTCTACCGAACATAATCAAGTGGTCAGCGTCGCCTAATTCGGTTTACTGAAAAGAATGTCAACAGTAGGCAATAAATTTATACTTGTCAGTTGGTATGATGGATGTTCATCTGTTTTGTTTTGGTTAGTGGTTATTTGACATTTGTGTTTTCGGCCTTGTGGATTTTCATATCCTCGTGTTGTAATTTTTAGTAGTGTTTTTCTAGAAAGTGGCCTATTTTGGTGGTAGGCTGACGAATATGTATGTGTAATTATTATTTTACTTTCTTAGCATCAAACTGGACGACTGGTTTTTATTTTTATATTTTTTTTTCTTCACTCTAATGCAATTTCATATTGATGATGTGCTGCAGCTTTTATTCCTCTACTATCATTACTATATAAAGTAGTATGGCTTCATTTTTCTCTCTTTACACTTAGGTCATTTATTCTTTTTTATTTGGCATAATTATTGGTTTCTTTCTTTTGTGCTCATGTGGTAAATTATGCCTACATTTGTACCTTGAAACCTGTTAGGGTAGTGGGATGTTGGCAGTGTATATTACAATCATTGTTTACATCTTTAGGTAGTGTAATGTTTGTACTTGGTTGATGCTTCAGGTGTGCCAAACAGATTAAAAGAAAGGTAATTCTACATGTACAATTGTAGTTTACAATATTATTTGACAACATAGTTAAAAGTATCTTTAACTCAAATCTTAACCACACATTTATTTGCACTTCATTCACCCACATTATCCCACATAATTTTGTCATTGAATGTTACACAAAAAAATTGTACAAGTAGCTTTTGCCTTAAAAGAAATATGGGCCGGCTGTGTTAAGCACAACTGGTAAGTTTAAGTTTCTAGTATGTATTTTTATATGTATACATTTGTATATAAATATAAGATGACAAAGTGCACATAAACTTCTATAACTATTACACGTGTTGCATATAATACTATTCAAAATGAAACACCTATCATGTGGTAAACTTAACGATATCTTATCTTTAATTTATATGTGTTTGATATATAAAAGATATATAATAAAGTGGATAAATATGATGAAATGGATATATATCCATGCTTAAGCTTTGTGTGATTCACACACACGTGGCTTATATTCCGATGAATTAGTAGATGTAGTTTTTATTATAGGGTTAATTGCATAAAAAACCACCACCTTATGTTTAATTGCAAATAAAATTCAACATTTTCAATTTAATAAAAAAATACCTAACTTTTATTAAGTGTTGCAATTTTGTCTTGTCCGCCGGACCGCCGCCGCCAACCGCTACCCGCCGCCGCCAACTTTGCCGGATATTGAAAATTTTTATATGATCTTCTAGCTCTCCTCCGTGTCAATAACATATCCGAGTTTCACGAAAAAATTTCGACGGTAAGACGTCTAATTTTTCGGTCAAAGGTCGTAAAAAATTTAGATCTACGACCTTTGACCGGAAAATTGGATGTCTTATCGTCGAAATTTTTTCGTGAAACTCGGATATGTTGTTGGCACGGAGGAGAGCTACAAGATCATATAAAAATTTCTAATATCCAGCAAAGTTGGCGGCAGCGGGTGGCGGTTGGCGGCGGCGGTCTGGTGGACGAGGCAAAATTGCAACACTTAATAAAAGTTAAGTATTTTTTTGTCAAATTGAAAAGATTGAGTTTTATTTGCAATTAAATAAAAGGTGGTGGTTTTTTATGCAATTAACCCTTTATTATATTATGTTCTATCATCACCACCTCAGAAACCCACCGCTTTAATTATCCTATAAATAAAGGCAAGATGACATAGTTTAGACTACAAACTAAAGGGGAATAGATAAACCAATAATAAATCATCTTCGTGAGAAATTTTTTGAATATTGTCATAGAAGGTGAAAAGGTATGATTCTATACTTTCTTGTGTGATTAATAATGGTTAAATTAATAGATTTTATTTATTGTAACAATTTTAAAAACCGGAAAGATTATAAACGGGCCACGAACGATTAATTTTCAGAGACCCCGAACTCAACCTTCGGACAATCGAAACTTTATAAAACATGTCATATTAAATTCCTCTTTCCTAAGATCACGATGGTTAAATTAGATTTTGATTTCAAGGTGTCGAAGATAGATAACAAATCATATATATGCATATTCGTCGTTATGTTTAATCCTTTTGGTTTTATATTATCTTGACCTTCAAGATTTGTACTTTTATTTTAAATGTATTCATATCATTTATAGTAAAGATCATGATCTTTCTATAGGATCGAGAACTTCACAAATATCTATATTATATAGAATGTTACGGTTAAAATACGATCATTATGTTAGTCTTCAACCGTTTGTTTGTCGGTTTGCGGGATATTTCATATATTCACCGTTTTGTTTATATTTTTAGTGTCTTATGAATATGTAGGAATAAGAATTATTTAATATAAATTTCCTAGTTAAAACTATGTTTAAAGAATGAAGTATTATGTATGATATTAAATCTAAAAAATAATTAATTTATTTATAATTCTTATGATATGTTAGTTAATGAATAAGATAATTTGAGTTACAAATTAATGAATATATTTTGTTATGATTATATCAAATTATACATCGAGTCAATTTCCGTCTTTATAAGGCTATAAGCTAAGGACTCGAGGTAAGTACAAGTCCATTCCCAACTACAATGCATAAACAGAGTATTGATCTACTCTATTATATGAAGATTTATGTGCTTATGTGAAAAGTGTTTTTATGTGAATAAATGTTTATATATATATTGATATCATTGAAAATAGCATACATTTCATGTTCACGTGCATGCATATTTTACCGTCAGATAAATATCTCGCATGCACGACATAATGGGAAAAGAAAAAGTATTTTGTTAATTAATTGGCCGCTGCTACGCACCGAGGTCAAGTGCCCTGTGAGACATTGCATAAGGGCGTGTGAGGCGTAAGGACTTGACTTATTATTATGTTATGCTCAGTGCCCCGTGAGACATTGCTTCAAGGCGTGTGAGACGA